AAAAAAGTAGCTTTTGCAATCGACTTTTTCAACACGAAAATAGGCAATAGCAATTACACTTCTCGGCTTCCGTACAAAATATAATAAAATTAAAAATAAATAAATACCCACACAGAGCCTGGGCCACTGTGATAGCTTCTAGTATTTTTATAGTCTCTAGCGACCTAGCGTCAGCGAGTTAGTTTGAATGATTTTTTTTAAATATTGCTATAATACACAAGGCGAAACTATGGGCCAGCCGTCTAGCAAAAATTGATTACCTTACCTTGTAACTCTTATTGCTCTTTTTGTTTTCAGGAATCTCTCACTTCGCATTAATTCAAAAAGGAGGGAAAGTTGACAGGTCGTGTTTGTATAATTTAGTCATTGATAACAATGTGAGTGACTACCACTTTACTCCTGCAGACGAACGATTGTTTTTGCTTGACTTGTATGATGCAACGGGCGGCCAATACTACTGGTATAAGAAAACAAGATGGGGGAAAATAGCACCATACATCGATAATGGCTTGACAGGACGATTGCCAAATTTTTGGAAAATCCGCAATCTACGTACAAGGACTATGTTTGTCTATTAATAAACAAATGATAGGAACAATATCAGGTGTGATCTCCAGTAATATGACTCGGCTCCGTCGACTGTGCTGTCCTATTCAGGAATTTATGGTGAAATCCCATCGGATCTAATACTACAGCTTCATAACCTGGAGAAGATACAACTTTGTTGCATGAATCAAACAAAATTATACGGCACCATTCCGCATGATATTGATCGCTTGCCTAAACTACAAGTATTGAGCTTTGGGCAGAATTACGATATTAAAGGAGACTTGTCTTTGAACGTAAGAAATCTAAGAAAATTGTGGTTTTTGGATTTAGAATATGGGAAACTGAATTCAGGTGAAATGTGGTATTTTTCAAACATGAGTCAACTGACATTCATACATCTGACGAACTGTGGATTACGGGGAACGATACCAAATGATTTTGGGAAAACTAATCCGAAAGTGTTCGATCTTCGACTTTATGGTAACAGATTGCAAGGGGAAATAAAGAACTGTTTTGATGGTTTTCAAAAAATAACACAACTTATCTTAGGCTCGAATAAGTTAAATGGCTCGCTTCCGGCAACGCTTAACAAGCTTCAAACCCTTCAGGTTCTTGATTTATCAAACAATAACTTTACAAGTTTTACCGCAAACTTGTCGTTTAATTCCCAGTTGCAGATCCTATACCTCGATCGAAACGTCCATTTAAAAATCGATGGTAACGCTCTGTTGAAAGCATTGCAGCCTTGTTTTCATAGTCTGCGTATGCTCGTTGCAAACAATTGTGGACTCAAAGGTGAACTTTCTTATTCACTTTTTAACTTTCACCAAGTCATGTATATTGATCTCAGCTACAACAACTTGACCGGTCGTGTCCCTAAAAATGAGGCATTTAATATGGTGTATTTGTTTTATCTTACTCTCGCATCAAATAACTTCACTGGTGAGTTACCCATGAGCTTTTTTTCTCCATTGAAATCTCTGACCTATTTCGATGTCAGACAAAACCGGTTCTTGAAAAGTCAGCACACTTTCCCAAATACAAATATGATGGTGACATACAGTGTAAAGATACAGAGAGATACATATTCTTGCCCAACTATTCATCTTTCAAATTCGGGAGGACGGGTAGAAATGGACCCGGGGTATTATGATCACTCGTTGTGTTTTTGTAACAAAGGTTATTATGGTTACCATAAATTTTGCAAGCCTTGTATGCAAGGTGGTTCATGCGAAATGGAAGCTTCAATGGTGAATAAAACGCAAGCTTCGTCATTGACCAATCATGAGATCAAGATGAACATGGACAAAGGTTACTGGCCATGTTGCGGCGATTTTGACAATGTGACTAAACTGGTTAAATGCAGTCAGCAAGAAATGTTTGATGATGAAATATGCAACCCCTCCGAAAACTGCAAATGTTGGCTACAATTGGTAAATGGTCACCACCTGAAAACGACATGTAACTCGTCATGTGTTTGTCGTCATGGCAACATGGGAAGGTTTTGTTCACAGTGTATTGACGATTACTACAAAAAGGGTTCTTTGTGTGTCCGCTGTCCAGAGTTCCGTGAACATTTTCCTGTGATTTTATTACTATCCTTCCTGGCATACTTCTTCATGTCTATTTCTTTGATGATTAGTTTGAGACGCCGTGGAAAGCGGGTGATCATTGTTTTATTGTTTGCATTTGCAGTGGCGCTTATAGTTTTGCACGCGAAGTCCATAATCCCTGGGTGGTTCTTCATCTTAATATTTGCAGTATGGATCGTAGGTCTTTCTGACGCAGGCAGGAACTTGAAAAGCTTTTGGAGCATAGCGGTGTTCTTCTTCCAGTCGCTAGGTGTGATGTTGTCTGATGCAAAAATCTGGCCAACAAAAATAGTTCTTCTTAAATACCAAATCACAAACGCCTTTAATTTTGAATTCTCGGAACTTACTTGTAGTTTTTCTTCTGCAAAACGTCCCGAAGTTAGCTTTGCTGTAATTTTGTTACTGCCTATCGCGGGGATAACTTTAATATGGTTGTTTCATGGTTTCGGGAAGCTATGTTGTGGTCGAAATAGAAATATTTCCAGTCACCGATGCAAACGTTGGAGTCTTCAAATACTTCTGTTCGTGTATTTTCCTGTCACTGCAAAAACCTTTGATGCGATATTTTCCTGTGAACACCGTGAAGGGCTATCTTATTTGAAATGTGCACCGTGGCTTGATTGTAATGGCACTTCACATAATTGGTTGCTTATTTTGGGTTATGCTTCCTTGGTTGTGTTTGTCATTGGCATCCCTCTTTTTATTTTCGCACCATTGTTGTACAAATACTTAAACAGTGAAGGCCAAACAATATCCGAAGAGATTGATAATTGGATGAAACCGTTGTATGACGAATTTAAGCCACCATTTCGACGATATTTCCGGCTAGTTTTCCTCACCCGTCGTCTTCTACTTGCGGTATTCTTAACCATAGTTCCAACTACCTCCTCTTACCAAATTTTAAGCATAACTTTGCTTCTCGTCACCTTCATTATCATAACTCTAGTTTTCAGGCCGTACAAAAGATATTCAGAGAAATTCGAGTTTGAAACTTCGGCCGATGTGTTTGTATCTATTGTTTTGCTTCTTTCCTTTGTTAGTTTGGCGTCCTTGCGACTTTCTACGAGACTTGACAACTCGCTTGTATGGTTGATCATTTCTACGAATCTGGTCGTGGTGTCATGTTGCTTGCTGGGAATTGTTTTGTTGTTTTTGGTTAACCTTTGGAAGTCTTCAAATTTACAAACTCAAAACATTCAATTTGAACCAATTCTCAATTAAAATTCATTCTTCTGCTATGGAGTGGCAGACTGGCAGACATTGCAACTGGAACAAAACGTCCGAACGACGACATTGCTAGATATGACACATTATTACTGGTACGCCATGTGGGCACAGACACGGAAAATAAAAATACGTATAGTAGAGAGTTTAAGCTTCGCGTTATACGTCAAACGGCAAACGGCAAACGCCAGGCGAAGAAAAATTTTACGGCATCAGGCAATAAAGATCTAGTAAATAAACTCACTGTTTTAAAACTGATATACATAATTTTTCTTTCGACCAAGAAAGAAAATATGAAATGAAAACGTTCGACAAATATTTTGCTAAGAAAGTTCGAACCGTTCCCGGAAAGGTGAAGCTTAAACTCTCTATTGTTAAAAAATATGGATTCGCTCTCTTAAGGGTCGTTGAAGCATGGGCATCTTGAATACAAAATTGTTTTGAAATAGTCCAATAGCAATATTCACTTTGGTACATTTTCTTTGAAACTCTTGTTTAAATTTCTGAAAATACTGTAGCGTGTGGGGATTGTGTTGCATGCGTAGGTGGAACATTTGATGTCGCGCTGATATTAATTAGGAAAGGCGTAGATTCGTTTAGTGTGTCTGGCATGTCATATATTACGTGACTAATGATTATAAAATAGGTAAATGTCTCGCAATACCTTACCCTATAAATTTACTACATTATCTCAATAAATTGTAAACTTCTAGTCTGACTGTTGTTAGTATAGTAACTTACACGTTACAATACAAAACTAATTGTGAATATAAACTATCTAGAAAAAGCTTGAGTCATTAAAATTGAAGCCTTACAATGAAAAACAACAACAGCAACAAAAAAGCATGGACCGCATTTTACTCTGTCGGTAAAGCATGGCCCGCATTCTACTCTGTTCATCTATCTCGTAACCATGCCAAAACCGTGATCTCTAACTATTTATAACATCTATATGCCACCATGGTGTTTAGCGTTTTTACAAGCTCTTTGGGGTATTTTTGCTAGCACCATCCAAATATATGTATATACTTTGATAAATAATTATATATTTGGTGAATAAACTATTATGTTATGTGATGTGATGTGATGTGATGTGATGTGATGTCATGTTATGTCATGTTATGTTATGTAAAGTAGAATGCTACTTTGTTGGCAGAGTAGAATGCGGTCCATGCTCACATTTCTGTGTGACTGTCTGTCATGTATCTGAAATCAGTGTTGCAAGTTGCAACATAAATTGCCTCGTGTAACATGGCTTAAGGCTAAAGATACCTTTCAGTATTTAGGGGTTGAACCACAGGATGCGCCCAAGGCTTTAACGTTTCCTACAAATTTCTCGTACAAATTAGAAAATCTACATGTTATTTTGTTTATTTATTGTGTTTCACTTATTTCATCCGATAAAAATGTAATCATACAATTTTATACAAGAAAAATTTATACCTGCCTCCTCCGCAGGCCCTTATTTGTTGTACATATCAGTGGTATATATAGATAAGTGGTTGAGAAAAAATCTGTTGTGATGCAGTGAACTTAGCGGTGCTCCTCCCTGAATTCACTAAAGCGACTGGGAACGAGGCAGGAAATTTACAATTATACGACGTAATATGTCTAGGATTTTAATAAAAACCTTTTGCCTTGTTCTTTAGGTGGCTTTACTTTCAATCCAAACTACTGTCTATCATTCTTTGCGTACTTCAGAAATTCCTAATCCACTTTTGGGATAATTTAAACTGACAAATGGTCTAAATTTTGTCCACTTGGATAGTTCAACTGAAATTGTTTGCCAGTTGGAGTGTTGAGAAATAACATTGTTGCGTCGCAATCCAGCAACAGCTCAATTATATCACCATGTTTCCAGTAATACCCATTATAATTATCATTGTTCCCCTTTCCGTTAATTGTGATACCCTGTGACCCGACAGAATAGCCAAAGAAAAGAGAAAGTGTGGATCTTTCGAAAGAGATATATGACGGTATAAATTGAGAAGTCTCAACATCTTCGTTGATTATACCAACATCGAGCAAATTTGAACTACCATAATGATCTTGCATGTTATTGTAAAGCACTAATTTTAGTCGAAACACTTCGGAATCATAAATATATGTTCCGAAGGCAAAGGCGGTGACGCTTCTTGATGCGTTGTTGTGGCGAAGAAAGATGGCATAGCCATTGCTGCCGTCCATATCAATTTCACTGCAATGTGACACGAACGATTCTTTTATAACAGGGAAGATTTCCTCAGTCAGTCCCAGATGTTGGACAAGATGTTTGAAACTATTTGTTTCATTTGAACTCATTTTCGATAGAGTAGCAGGATTTTTAGGGGTTGATATTTTCTTTGCTCGAAGGTAATCCATGACGCTGTATGTAACGCTCTCGCCTAATACCCTTTAACGTTACCTAGCCCCATAAAACAAACTGCTGTTCTTTATTTTCTTGCGAACTCAAAGTGTACCTTAAGGAACACATCATGCGTAGCTACGCTATGCATAATAATATTATGATTCATGCGTAGCACGCGCTGCCTTTGCAGAACACGCCATGCAGCTAAGTACGAACTCTTGGACGCACACCCCTGTTGACGTCATACATACATTCATTCGTTCGTTCGAATTACTTCTGGTGCTATATGGGGGGGGGGAGGGGGTGGGGGGTTACCTACTATTATTGTTATTACATGCTAAAATAACATGGGAACGAGGCCTTGGGTGAAAGAGAATTAATAACCGGTTAAGGCGGATTTCCATTCAGTGCAAAACTTGCTGCGCGATCGACTTTTTGGGATCTCTTTCTTTTGAAATACAAACAGTCAAGCGGAGCAAATCTCATTAACTGTAGTTGACTGCACACATTTCAAAAGAAAGCGATCGCAAAAAATTGATCGTGCGACATATTGCACTGAATGGAAATCCGCCTCAAGGCCGTTTTCCACTAGGCGGAATTTTCCGCGCGGAGTGGAATTTCTCTTTATCTTTTCTAATTAGTTCCACCCGAGAAATCACAAGACAAAGAAAAATTTCGCTCCGCGCAGAAAATTCCGCCTAGTGGAAAACGGCCTTTAAGGTCTATTAAAATGGCGCACGATCGATTTTTTGCAATCGCTTTCTTTAGAAATATGTGCAGTCAACTACAACTAATGAGATTTGTTCCGCTTGACCGTTTGTATTAGTCAAAAGAAAGCGATCGCAAAAAGTCAATCGCGTAACATTTTGCACCGAATGGAAATCCTTTATTCAGTACAGTAGAGCTAGCTACGTACTTCACAGTTGTTTGACATTTGACAATCGCAACGGGGTATTTATTCCACAAGCTATTTTAGTTGAATCAATTTTATATATTCTCCCCCGCCCCTTGTTAAAAAGCTTGTAATATCATATATCATTGCGTTAGGCATTAAAAGTAGTATTCAACTTCTCCCTCACACCAGTTTTGCTTGATTGATGACAGTCTATGGTGTTCTGCAGTTGCAGCCAGTGTTGGCGATGCATAAAATCACAGCGTGATCCGCATGAAAATTACCTTTGCAACTTTGTTCGACGTTGAACTGTACCTCACCCACAGCGGCCCAATTTGAGGGTGGATGATCAGGAGTCGCGGGTTTTAACGGCTAATTTATACCCAAATACTCAACCAAAACTATTTTATTAAAACAATAACATATAGTTCACATGATAGTATAATGCCTTTACATTCCTTTAATTACTCCATGAGCTCATTTAGAGCGGTCGCTATGCAAACTTTTCTGTGGCCTATGTTGTGTGTTGCTCGTCATATCACTAGCGACTCGACCGCATCGGCATCAAAGTCAATTATCTCCCCTCAAACTTGTCGTACGGCAAAACAAATCCGATCAGATCTTTTCACAAAGATTTCTCTTTCTAAAGAATATGGTTTGATCATAGCTCGGGCAAATGTAGCAACGAACGCAGCCGAAATCTCTTTCAATTACGGCTATTTTCATAATACTTCGAACTGTTCGGGCCGCATGATCGACGATTGATCTAACCTGATACTCATGGTTCACCCCCCCCCC